ATCTTATTTCATCTATGAGTTTTTCCAATTAATATCTTTTTGAAAAACTGCTTTTGAAACCCGAAATCTGCATCTAGCTACTTAAATCATCTTTCATTTATATCTAGGTCAGATTCAAGATTGATTTCTTCAAGAGTATGGTTTCTTGAAGAAATTGGTCTTTCTCCTTTGAATCCAAATTGGTTTCGGTTTGTGTTGGAGCTTGCAAGCTAGTGCCATGGGATGAACGAGCTGGAGAAGGAGCTGCCATTGCCATGAAGAACTGAGCTTCAAGCTTTGCTAAGTTGGCGAAGAAGATTGCACAAAGGAGGTATAGCTCATCTTCCTAAATAGATCTAGGTTTTTCTTGAGCTTGCTTGTGTTCCTTTGTAAGAATCTTTTTCTACTTAGTGGATTGCCTGGTCGGTTGATGACCCCCAGTTTTTCCCAATGGTGGGTTTCTGGGTAAACAGTTTCTGGTTTCCAACTCTGTAAATTTTCTGGGTTTGTGTTCTTGACAGTTGACTAGTCATCTGGGTTTGTGCAGTTGACTAGTCATCTTTTTCTGCTGTTTGGTGTTTGCTTGATTCTGCTGTTTGGTCTTCACACACTTTCACCATAGTTGTTGCTAGCACATGGGATGCCTAGATTGACGGGTCCTTCTGAGTGCCTAGGTTGTCACTAGTAATTCTCTAGGCTTGCAGGTACATCTTGGTGTGCTCTGTGTATGTTATTGTTTGGTATAATTCATATATGACAGTTGACTAGTCATAAGAGTATTTGGTCAAGGTCTAGAGTGTGTGAAGTTTGCTGCGTTCTTGGTTGAATATCTTTTAAATTTACCCCTCGTCACCTAAGTACCAATTTCAATTTTCTTTGGTAAATCTTGAAGGCTGCAGAATGCTAGAGGATCTCCCACTGAATTTCTATAAATCCAAGTCTATTGAAACCCTTATACTGAATGGTTGTTGGAGATTTGAAAAGTTGGCTGAGGGCTTAGGGGACATGGTATCATTGACAACTCTGAAAGCAAGTGACACAGGCATAAGACAACTACCATCTTCCATGTTAAAATTGAAGAAACTGAAAGCTTTATCTTTAAGTTATGTGAGAAGGAAAAGGTGGCCATCAACAAATCTTTTGCCCCCTTCGTTGCCAAGTTTAAGCTCTTTAAGAGAATTAGCTCTTGCGTACTGCAGTTTAACTGATGATGCATTCCCCAAGGATCTCTGTAGCCTAATTTCCTTAGAAAGATTAGATCTTGCAGGCAATGAATTTTGCAGCCTACCAAGCCTCAGACGTCTTTCACAGCTTCAAGATTTGTCTCTAGATTTCTGCACGCATCTTCGTGCAATGCCAGATTTACCAACAAATTTGAAAGTCTTAAAAGCAGATGGCTGCTTTGCATTGGAAAAAATGCCAGATTTTTCAGAAATGTCAAATATAAGATAATTGTATCTAAGAGATTCGGACAAACTCACTGAGATTCCATGCCTGGATAAGTCATTAAACTCCACGACAATGATTCAAATGGGAAATTGCACTAATCTCACTGCCGATTTTAGGAAGAACATCCTACAGGTAAATCCTTCTCTCTCTCTCTCTCTCTCTCTCACACACACACACACACACACACACACACACACACACACACACACACATGTTTCTCTTTCTATCACATACAACGCACATGTAGACATGCATGCATAAGAATGTATTTCTTATAGAAATTTGGCTCTACATGGTATAGGGATGGACTTCTTGCGGATATGGTGGCATTTCTCTCAGTGGAAATGATTTTCCTGATTGGTTCCATTGTGTCCATGACAATGATATTGTGTATTTCATTGTGCCTCAAAGTGTTGGTCGTATTTTGAAAGGGTTAACTTTGTTTTTCGTTTACTCTCCAGACTCAATCCCCGATTGTGACATCATCATTAGCATTAGCATTAAAAACATGACCAAGGGCACTGAGCTTGATGCCAGGATCAAACCCGTTTCCAATTTTCCAATTGAGGATTATAATCTTTGGCAGGGACAGTTGTCAAATGACGAGCTCAAATTGCAAGACGGTGATAAAGTCTTGATTGAAATAATATCTGAATATAGAGCGGTGAAGGTGAAGAAAACAGGTGTTAGTCTGGTATGGGACAAATTTATGAACGAAAATATGATTGATTACCATCTTTGTGCATATGAACGACGCCCATATCTGGTCAATGATGATGACATCATTCATGTCGAAAATGATAATCACATAACAAAATCACCAGACTTTTCAAAATTCCCAAATCTCGAGAAGTTGATATTGACATTTTGTAGGTGGTTGTGTAAGGTTCACTCATGCATCGGGGATCTTGGAAGACTTTCTTTGGTAAATCTTGAATACTGCACAACGCTAAAGGATCTCCCACTGAATTTCTATAAATCCAAGTCTATTGAAACTCTTATACTTAATGGTTGTTCAAGATTTCATAACTTGGCTGATGGCATAGGGGACATGGTATCATTGACAACTCTGAAAGCGGATCACACAGCCATAAGACAAATTCCATCTTCCATAGTAAAATTGAAGAAGTTGAGAATTTTATCTCTATATGGTGAGAATTTTGAAATGCCATCTTTTACCCCTTTCATTACAGGGCTTAAACTCTTTAATAGAGTTATTATGTCTTGCAGGCTGCAGTTTAAGTGTGGATGCAATCCCCAAGGACCTCGGTAGCCTAATTTCCTTAGAAGATCTGCTTCTTGGAGACAATGACTTGTGTAGCCTACCAAGTCTCGCTGGTCTTTCAAAGCTCAAAGTCTTGTGTGTAAATGCATGCAAAAAACTTCATGCAATCCCAGATTTACCAACCAATTTGTATGTTCTGAAAGCAAATGGCTGCCCAAAATTGGAAACAATTCCAGATTTTTCAAAAATGTCCAATATGAGAGAATTGCATCTACGTGATTCGGTCAAACTCACTGAGGTTCCAGGCTTGGATAAGTCATTAAACTCCATGACAAGGATTCATATGGAACGCTGCACTAATATGACTGCCAATTTTAGGAACAACATCCTACAGGTCTCTCTCTCTCTCTCTCTCTCTCTCTCTCTCACACACACACACACACACACACACACAGACAGAGGCACAGCTGCAGATGCGGCCCATGTATGTAATGATATATGCAAGCACGTATAAGACTGTCTTGCTTCTGGTGTGCAGAGATGGACTTCTTGCGGAAATGGGGGAATTTATTTGAATGGAATTTATGATATTCCTGAGTGGTTCAAAATCGTCAATGATGTGGACAATATCGTCTTCTTTGAAGTTCCTCAAAGAATCATGGGTCGTGATTTAGAAGGGTTGACTATATGCTTCATTTACTCAAAATCCTCAATTCATTTTTTTTATCAAGGTCATATTGGCATTATCGTTAGAAATCTTACCAAACAAACTGCTTTGCACATCCGGATGTCTTTGGCAGCAACTTGGAGTGAACCTGAAGAGGGTTGTCGTTGGCAGGGACAATTGTCAAACGATGTGCTATGTTTGCAAGGTGGGGACCAAGTCTCCATTCTTGTAAGGCCCGGTAATGATTTTGTGAGAGTGAAGAAGACAGGGGTTCATCTAGAATGGGACAAAGTCATGAAGGAAAATATGGATAATCCGGATCCTCATTTGTATGATTGGGAAACAAATCAGATTTTCGAGGGGGAGTTGATGACGCATTTTCCAGGGGAGGGGCAGTGTTATACATGAACAATTAGCAGTGGAAGACAATCCTTTTGGCCGTGGCGAATGATGGAGCAGGACGGAGCCATGACACATTAGGTCGCACTAATCAATCGAGTGTTATAGATGAACAATTAGCATTGGAGGGGTGTTTCGGGCATCTTAAAAGTTTTTTTATTTAATATTTTCTTCAATTTTTTTTCCCACCCACGTTGATTGTGATTGGTTGCCAAAGAATTTTAGTTGACGGGAATGATTTAAGATTGAATTTTCCTTTGCCGGAAGCCAAATTATTTTATTTTATTTTTTCCTTTTCCTTCTTGTTTTAACAAAAGAAACTTTAGACATTGCCTGGAACCAAATTCTGCATTTTCTTTCACTTGCAAAGAAGACGCAAATGCCTCCTAGATATCCATTCCGTTTTTGTATGCTGAGTGAGCAGTTGTAACTGAAGAAAAAATATATATACATTGCACGAGTGGGCTGGCGGTTTTCAGTTGCGTGATGGGGTTTTCCCCTCTTTGCACGCGCGGGTTCTCAACTCCCAGCACGTCTTCTTCTTTTTCAATTTTGTTAATTGGGTGTTTCTTTACCATTTTATCCAGATTTTACCATTTTACCATTTTTGTTTCATGTCCTTTAGTTAACCAAGGATTTTATCTTCTTTAGTCAAAAAGTTGCTTCACACTAATGCCACTTTATTATTATTTTAAAATAAAATAAAACATATTTTTCACCATTTTAAATATTCAAAGTATAAAAAAAGAGAGAATAATTTAGTTGTTAAAATACGCGGATAAAAGGTACTTTACTATAAGAAAAAGAAACCGAATAACATCATATAAAGTTTTAATCAGTTTCAGTATCCAAATCTTTATGTAATCAAACATAATTTTTAGATTAAATTTTATAAGCTTATTAGTTGAAAGAAAAATAAAATACATAAATATATAATTATTTTGACGATTAATGTACATGAAGGGGCACATACATTAGAATCCTCATAGTATATATACCTTCGTAAATTTGGGATCGATTGTCTTTATTGTAGTTGGAGGAGAAGATGCTTCATGTCCCTTATTTCTTATTCCACCCTGTCACACCCCAATTATTATTATTATTATTATTAT